TTTTAATTATATATTACATCTAAGCTAGAGCCGGCTAGTCTTCCTTAGTAAATGAGTCCCAGTTTTGGCGATGCATGACAAGTGGTATGGCGGTTAAAAACTTAGTTCGTTCTCACACGAAAAGAGGTAGGATGTCTTGTTGAGCTCCATCACAATGGATTTCGTAATAAAGCCAAGCAGCTGCAGAACCTCGGAAATTAGATATCGTCTTCTGGTGAGATCAGCCAACGAATCTCTTCCTCATGCACTTTTATCTTAATCAAAAGTCTTCATAACATTGTATAAATATGAGCATATGGAATAAGAGAATAGATAGATAAAGACTAGAAAACGAATTAAGACATGCGTGAGTTAAGGCATAGTAAAAGCAACCGAGAATTCGTCTTACAGATAATTCCTTTTGGAGTTGAATAAGAACTCAAATAATAGTGCTTAAGGATCTATAAATGAGCCTTCCAAATCTAATAAAAAAGGAAAATCCCCTTGACAACGTTATATCAAAAGCTAAGTCAGTTTTCATGGCTACCAATAGATCTTATATAATAGCCGTATTCACTCTATTTCGTTTTACCTTTATCAAGAACTAGTAGTTGAATTTTCTTGCAAGTATATAAGTTGGCCTAACGTTTCGATTGAAGCTCACAAAGCCCTGCTTCCCAAAAGATATTATTATCCAGGCCGGACTACAGTTTGGACCTCGCCTGGGTCTCATCAGCATCTACCATGGGGCTCGAACCCGGGTTGTGGTGATAAGCGTATAGTCTAGACACGTTAATAAACCCGCAAACAAAAGTTAGTTCCAACGAAGCCTAGGCCCTTTCCATACCACATTTCTGAGGTAGGATTGTCGATGGAGCAAAGTGGTAGTTGCTGCATAAATTGACTACATGACTTATTTTTTGTTCATAAACAGGTTTTCGAGATCTTTTATAAAAAATATATTCACCTTATTCGTCAATTCACTTCTTCCTTGTGACATAAGGCTCCTCTTTACAGTTTAAAGTAGTGGTTAATGGGCTGATAATATACGCTGCATTGCAATAGCCCAGGTGCAAGTCCCGCTGGACGTGGATATTAGATCCATGAGAAGTCAAAGCTGCAATCCATCCTCAATGATAATGCTTTATGGGAAGTAAGGCAATGTTAAATTCAAGTGAATCATGAGGGCTGGTCATATTATTCTGGGAACATTTAGCCACCAACCTTCCATCACCTTAAACGAAATAGGGTGAATACAGCTCTTATATAGGATTGACCTAAATCAATTTACTCTTTTTATGCAATGTCTGCTGTTCAGGTGATCAATCTTGCCTACGAAAAGAAAGTCACCATTCGCGTGACAACAGATTCATGGCGCAGCTTCACAGACTATGAGGCCTGCTACACTCCGGCTGAGGCCGGCAGCCCCATGCCGTTTGGAAGCTACTTGCGACCAACAAATGGTCCGGCGCCATTCACTTCAG